AACCACAGCAACATAACCTTAAAGAGTTAAAGATTACACTCCTTAAAAAGCTCAGTTAAGGGACAAAAAATTCTACACATAACAAGAGAAAACAGGGCTGGACAAGAATACATACCTAGCAGAATTCTGTTATACATGTAATAAAACTATTGTTCAAGCACATCCATTATCCATAAACTTGCCTTCTAGTAAATTGATACTCCTATAATATCAGCACTGGATATACTCGGTGGAGACAAACATAATTAGTATGTCTGTGAGACCTAATTATAATATAAAGAGTATTTCAAGTTTTCAGCACAAAACAGCAAGAGATGAAATTCTCTACAACGCTTATAAAAATCAACCCTTTCACAATAAAGGGATAATTCCGCTCAATACCTCCAGCAACCAAAAAAAGGTGATTGATATAACCCATTGGCGCCGAATTATTTTGAAATCAATATAGTGGAATACTACCATGAGAAGTATAGACAAATGTAGATTATGTAGAAATTACAAAAATGTTCTTAGAGCGAATTTCTGGAGAACAAGTGTATACCTAAGTATATATGGCCATTACTGTATATAAAAGGGTGAATTGGCACCGAGGGTGAATAGATCACCTGTCTAACAACAATAAGAATAACATTTAAGAAAAAATTAAAAAAACAAAAAAACATATAATTGTAAATATTATTAGAAAAGCGAAGTTAACATAAAAATTAGCAAATTGCCAGAATATACTCGAAGTTTCTTTCTTTGCATTAGTCTTGAAATGAAGCTCTCCAAACCTTTATTCGACTCCTTAAAATAGAAAGAGAATTGAGGTGGTAGTAAAATCAACTTAAATTGGTATATATTTCATTTGCATACCACTTTCTTGGCACTCCAATTCACTTCAATTAACCACCTTTTTTTTTCAAATCCAATCAAATTTAGGGAAATTAAATGAATAACCAAACCCAAAATCATAAAAATGAATAATACCCAGAATTTCAAATTTGCTCAATGGATCAAAATCATAAAAATGAATAATACCCAGAATTTCAAATTTGCTCAATGGATCAAAATCATAAAAATGAATAATACCCAGAATTTCAAATTTGCTCAATGATCAAAATCATAAAAATGAATAATACCCAGAATTTCAAATTTGCTCAATGGAAAAATATGTGAAATTGAAATTTGAAGAAAAACGGTATTTTCCTCAACCGTGTAAAACCATCAAACGTAACCTTTCGGATACTTCCACTTTTATGAACTCGTTGAAAAAATTACATTCGTATTTAATTTCTTCTCAAATCCGCCAAGAAGATGCCTGTTAAATGAAGTCGAAAATGTAGTACGACAGACTAAAGAGAAGGAGAAGATAATGAAAAATTGAGAGGATGGGTATTATAGAATTAGAGAGAGGAACATAAACGAAGAAACGTTACCGAGAGAAGATGAACAGAGCCACGTAGAGGAGAATGAAATGAAAGGTCAAATACTCAAATTTATCAAAATTTCAAGTGGGGGTAAATGTGTAAATAAACTCTTTTAAGAGTATAATAGTCTTCACACTGTTCATAAGAGTATTCTCACACTTTTTATAAAATAGGGATACATGGTCGTGCATAAGTTTAGAGTAAAAGCGATCCTCCCTACTTGCTAATATTTACATATTACCCCCAACCCTAATCTCCCTCATCCCCAACCCACCCTGCTCTCCCTTATCCCCACCCCGGCCTTGCTTTCTCGCATCTTTGACAGTCCTAAACCCATTCTCCCTTCCCTTGCCGGTTGGTACGAAAGTTTTTGGATAGTGGGGTTAATTATGACGTTAGTGGAGGGTAAAGGTTCCTGACTCAGGGGTTTGGTAGGGAATTTGGGCTGGTGGTGGTTGGGCGAGCGATGGACGGTGAAGGGATAGGGCCCGTGGGGGCTAGGTGATGGATGAAGTGTCTATTTTTTTCTTTTCTTTTTTATTAAAAACTATTTTTTAAAATGAAAATTTAAAAATAATAAAACAAAACTTACTAATCATATTGCAACACGTGTCATAATTACCCTATTAAACAAGTTACCAACCAATCACGTCCTCACGTTCTATTTTGATCAGGTACCTCCTAATGGTTTGAAATAATCAAATGATTTTTTTTTATATTTTTATTTTTTTATTTTGGAATACCCGACAACATATTTTGGAATACCCGAAAAATGTTGTATTAGTGTAGACACTTGATTGTGTCTCCCCAAAAACCAACCCAGTGATGAGTACCTTTCACATCTTTGATTATCGAGTTAGGTGAAGAGTTGAAAAGTCTCGTGAAGTTCCCTTAAGCCTAGACAATATTCTAACCTTACCTAAAATTTATTAAGCCAAAATCATTCATTTCGTGTCTTTAAACCCAAAATCATTCATTTCGTGTCTCGCAAAATCATTCATTTCGTGTTCAATCCATAAAAACGTCCAAACCAGATTATTTAGGTCCATAATCTCGGTCCAATTATTGCTTAGTTGGATGGGGCTTGAAAGGGCTTTCTAACGAATATATTATAAGCCCAAATCCGACTTATAACGAAGAAGTTATGGCCAAAATACTAAACCGAGCCCGCATCCGACTTAAAAGGGCTTTCCAACAATATATTATAAGCCCAAATCCGACTTATAACGAAGAAGTTATGGCCAAAATACTAAACCAAGCCTTGCCTGCGACTCAATGATCATGTGGAGGGTCCATTACCTTAATCCCCTTTCTAAATCAATTAGGATTTATTACAAGCTTTTAGAATCTTCTAGAAGGTTATTTTCGATTCTAAATCCGTTAGGATTTATTATGAACTTTTAGAATCCTTTAGAAGTCTCTACTTAATCCCATTTTTGAAAAGATAAAGATTTAAGAATTTTACATCGGATAAAACATCTGTTTTTCAATGATCCCAATCCCGGTCAAAATAGAATACGTACGGATATTTGGTTGACCCAATCCAATTGGGAATCAAACTCCGTACAGATTCTATCTTTTTCAAAACCATCGCCGAGCGACAGCACCATTGCGCCGCGATAAAGCTGTCGCGCCGCGATGAGACCTGTTTTTACTTTGATTTGAATTTTGACTCTTTTCTGGTCCTTCGACTCTCTTTTTTCCTATAAGTAGAGGTCGTGTTACCCCGTTTTCATTCACCAACAATCATCATGAATACCCTGTCTAATATTTTCTCTCACTCTCTCTTAATTCTTCATGTTCTTAGCCTAGCCTAAACACATCCAACACACATCCTTGATACTCTCTTCGATCAAACACCATACTTCCTTCACGAGTTTCGAATACTCCTAACCATCCTCGATGTTGCCTTCGACCTCGATGAGAAAGGTTGATAGTTCTGAGGTTTGGTCCCAAATCAATATTTCAATTATTATTTGATTTATTTACTTTGTTGATTTAATCTTTCTTGAAGTTACTAATGTGTTTATTGTTTTAATAGCAAGAAGGGAGGAGCATCAACGTGAGTAATTCGATCACCCTCATTATTATTTTGGTTTTGGAGTAGAAATCATGTTTTGAATATTATTTTAATTCCTAGTATCATGTTAGGATGTTTTTAAGATTTCAAGTATCATGTTAGGATGTTTTTATGATTTCTAGTATCATGTTAGGATGTTTTTATGATTTCTAATATCATGTTTAGGATAACACTTTGATTATGATTTTGATTATTATGATGATTATTGTGTCAATTAATTATATGTTGATTGATTATTCATGATTCGATTGTTATTGCTTGATCACGCCCCTTCTTGCAGGTTTAAAGGGAATTTATACTTGAAATCACGCCTAATAAGATAATTAATAATTTGGTTTTAGGTTAATATGATTTTAATTCAAGTATCACCAATAATAGATTTGATTGTGCATTAATAATCAACCAACATAGATTAAACAGGTTTAGGGCTAACTTGATGTATGTGTGTTGATCGGAAAGCGCACATGAATATCATAAGAATTAAGTAGACCGAGGCCGATTTAGGGCGGGTTCAGTATCTTTTAGGTTGGATTCGTACCATCATCTTCGAATATCCAGTCATGATTCCAGGCCACTATGGAGTTAGCGATCTCCGTGATCGTGAATGGGGTGTAACCTTCGCACCTGTGAACGGTTTACAAGTTCCTAAAACTTGTTGGCGACTCTCATATCTCTAGCTTCCTTATCTTGGAGCTCCGCCATGCCTAAAAGCATGAACACAATGGGGCTCAAAAGGTTGAGTTTGAAAAATTCCCTACAATTAGTCTCGACAATTTTTTCTTTAATTTTTAAACTACTTTCTTTATGTACAATACTCTGTAAAAAATCTATTCTATCATTTCTTCAGTTTTTACACCCGTGCAATGACATAACAACGAACTATTATTTTATTACTCTAAATGCGGGAGAAAATACAAGTTTATCACCTTGATAAACAAATTTTGTTTATTAAATGATAAAACTGTAAATAAATCAACACTTTTTTTTAAATATGGGCCCATAGTTGTTGATATAATTACGAAATTCCATACTGATCGACTATTTTGTTAATTTATTCACGATTTTGCCACATGATAAACAAAGTTGGAGTAAGAAAGAAAATTAATTCGTTCTTAGGCCCTATTAACTTCACCTTAAAAAAATAAAATAATATTCAATAAAATTAGTTTCAATTCAGTAAAATTAATTTCAGTTCAGCAAGAATAATTTCAGTTCTATAAAAATAAGTTCAGTTCGGTAAAACTAATTTAATTTAGTAAAAATCAGTAACTTTAAAGAAGAAATACAACAAAGAATCAGTAAAAATAATTTCAGTTCAACAAAAATAATTTCACTTCAATAAAATTAATTTCAATTCAGTAAAATTAATTTCAGTTCAGTAATAATAATTTAAAATCAGCAAAAATAATTTCATTTCAATAAAAATAATTTTAATTCAGCAAAAATAAGATGAAGTGAATAGGGATACTAATATATACGGAGATCGAGTTAATACGAGTACAAACCTAACTCAAATCAAGTCAAGACTCGATAAATGCAATAAAAAAACCCGACCCATTGTCATCTCTACCATCTTACACTTTGTACAGCACTACAGTCGACAGTCTCGACACACTACATAGTGTACAGTAAAGAAGTAAGGGCACACTTGACTAAACTAGACCACCATTGACATTGACACTCTTCTCCTCAGATCATCATCTTCTTCCGTCAGATCTCTCACAAATTCTCTCTCCTCCCTCGAAAATGCCGCGAACTTCATCACCCCTCATACCAACCTCCGACAACCAACCATACTCCAAATCCGAAAAGACCAAAAAGCCCTTCATTCCTTCTTCCCATTCTTCCCGCCCTCCCATACCCTTTATCGTCTTTTCCATTGTTTGCCTTCTTGTCGGAATCTCCGGCACCATTTTCTCTCTCCTCACTTTCACTCGCTCTCAATCGCCGCCAATTTTCCGGTGTGGTCGGGTGCAGGATTCATTTCGCGGGCATTACTTATTGACGGCTCAAAATCATCGATCTTCCAAGATCAGTGATGGCGGGAATGCTCTTGATCGTCCTAAGTTTTTAGGGTTTGTTGGAATTTTGACTGGGTTTGATTCGTTTGATCGAAGAGAGGGTTTGAGGAGTACTTGGTTTCCTTCTGATCCTGAAGGTCTTTTAAGGTTCGCCGCATTTTTAATATTTATGTTAGGGAGTATAATTTTTTACTATTTTTAGCTGATTTATGTTTTAATGCCATTAGAATTGCGTGATTTTTGTTGGGTTTTATTTGATTTTGTTGCGGAATTTGTGTGATTCATGATGCATCTAAATTGCGTGATCATAGGGGATTTATGATGCGTTTGGAACATTGATTATGGGATTCGATCTCAGGTTTGGTAAATTGGGTTTCACCTGTGACACTTTAACCAACTAAGTTAGTTAATATACAATTTCTAGCTAATTTATGTTTTACTGCAATCAGAATTGCGTGATTTTTTATGGGCTTTATTTGATTTTGTTGCGGAATTTGTGTGATTCATGATGCATCTAAATTGCGTGATCATAGGGGATATATGATGCGTTTGGAACATTGATTATGGGATTTGATCTCGGATTTTGGTTAATTGGGTTTCCACCTGTGACACTTTAACCAACTAAGCTAGTTGACATACGGTTTTAATGCAATTAGGATTGCTTGATTTTTGTTGGGTTTTGTTTGATTTTGTTGCGGAATTTGTGTGATTTATAATGCATCTAAATTGTGTGATCATAGGGGATTTATGATGCATTTGGAACATTGATTACAGGATTTGATCTCAAGTTTTGGTTAATTGTGTTCCACCCGCTAGATTTTAACCAACTTAGTTTGTCGACACACAATCATTGTTTCTAAATTGATTTTTTACAAGTAAATGGAGTGTTATTATAAACTAAGCTACTATTATGAGATCACTAGGATTTAGTTTTGGTGAGAGGTTATTGTTGCAATATTGAATATTGTTTTTGGGATCCTGAGAAAGGTAAAGAGAGGATATAGAAGCAGATGATTTCGTATTGGCAGTGGCTTTTTCAATCAGGCGCACTATACATCCTGCACCCGGGTGAAATTTTGAGTCATTGCCACATGCTCGTGTGTAGAGCACATAAGGAGAAGGTGTGAGATGGGATGGACACTGTATCGATTGGCTGGTTTTTGTAGGATTAAAGTGTCAGTATCTTGTTTGGTGTGGTTTTAAGGGCACCAGGTATCTCCATTATTGATATATTTTGATGCTTTTGATGTGATCTGGTCTTATGTTTTGATCTGACAATATTAATTATGTCATACAATTAGGTGAACTGAACATAGCCTGTATGTGTTTAGAAGAGTCTAGGTGAGGAGAATTAAGGAATGCTTTGGAACTTTCAACCTAAACAATTCATTTTTTCTTAGAAACAATGTTTATGATTTTGTGTATTTAAAGTATAAAAGGTACTACCTCTGTTTTTTTTTAGTCGACACGTTTTGACTTTAGCACTATTCACACACTCTCCTTTGACCGTAATTTGTGCTTTATACATAATGAAAAATATAGTCAGGTGGGATCTTGTTAGATTCTTCACAATAAATATTTTCAAAATATCAAATTTTCATAATTTTTGCTTATCGATAATCAAAGATATTAATGGTTGAATTTGTGCATTGACAAACGTGACTAAAGAAACGTGTCAACTAAAAAGAAACGGAGGAAGTATATGCAGACAAATTTGCAGCAGAATATTGTGACGTTGTGGTTGAAATAGGTTAGAAAGGATATACTCATGAAATAAAGTGTAGGTTATTATCATTCTAAAAGACTTGAAAAATTTAGTTTTATAATCTTGCTAGGCAAGATGAAAATTGAGGGGATAGAATTAATTACCAGAATTATATATAGACAAATCAGAAGCAGAATTCCATAAAGTGCGATGTGGTAGTGTGGACTGTCACAAAGGTTTTTGCCCTGTTATTCCGACTTTCCTGCTGACAAATACTCCCTAGAAAAAAAAAAAAAGGATTTTTGCATGGTACCTTACTGTTTTTTCCTTTCTTTGAGATGACCTGGTGCAAGTCCAGGAATTGTTTGAGATGCTGAACTCTGCAGCTCAATATTCATACTGTGTACTCTTGTGTGTTATGCTCACTGTTAAACTTTGCCTGCTATAGGTTGGAGCATTCTACTGGTTTAGCCTTTAGATTTGTGATTGGACGGTCAAAAGATGCTAAAAAGATGGCTGCCCTCAACCAAGAGGTGGATAAGTATAAAGATTTTTTGCGTATAGATGTTGATGAAGATCATGCTAGCCCTCCACACAAAACGTAAAAGTCGTAGGCTTTGTGGTTTGACAATATCTTTATCCCAAGCAACACCCCAACTCCTATTTCATTGTGTCTATTTCTTTTCCTTTGCAGCCTGGCATTTTTCATAGCAGCATTTGAACTTTTTGAAGCAGATTATTATGTTAAAGCTGGTGATGACATATATTTACGTCCAGGTATGTAATCTTGTATATTTGCAATTTACAGAGAGGTTAAGAGGTTAAGTCCAAAAAGGTAATAATATCTTTTGCACTTCCAATTTAATACTAAAAATAAAACTATCAATGTTCAAACAACTTCATTTCAGCTAATAACGTTCTAATTCAAGATTAAATGAAATTGATGTATGTGCTTAATTTATATAATTATATTTTACAAGTATAAAATTTAGACTGAAGGGTTGAATCTAAACTAGTCCAAGATTCCCAAAATTTGAGTAAAAAATTTTAGAGTCTAGTCTAGATTTTTTCTGGACTTGACTTGGAATTCCGTCTAAATAACATACTTCTTACAGACTGTAAATCTCCATGGTACAATAACTCTCCATCTTGACTTTTGTCAGACAGGCTTGCCACACTTTTAGCCAAGGAGAGAACTGAAACTAGAACTTATATTGGCTGCATGAAGAAAGGACCTGTCATCACTGACCCTAAAATGAAATGGTAAGAGAAAATCACATTCTATCATCTCATTAAAAGTTAGATTAGACTTGAAATTCATAAACTGCTTCTTTTGTCTGTCTTGCATTTGTTTTCAGGTATGAAAGTCAAGGACACCTTATTGGAAATGAATACTTTTTGCATGCTTATGCTCCTTTGTATATTCTATCCGCTGAGGTAGTTTCTTCATTGGCTTCTGCCAAGAACAACAGGTGTGGTTCCTCTTCTTGCTTTCAACCTTGCATCCTTTTAAATATGAGTCACTCAATCTTCTATCTTTCACTTGCTGAATTAATATTGAATTATTGATGTTGCGTGTTGCTTGGCCTGATTGGGAAAAATACTTCTCTGTGGCTTTGATTTAATTTCCCCCCTCTGTAACCATATTAAGCATGTATACTCATGGTTTACAGGAAGCAATGGAAAGATCCCTCACATAGCAAAAGTGAACATGAATAGTTGGTGTTTAGGTATAATCGAGTTGTAGAACATTAAGTACATGGTTCAGAAATTCTTAAGAGGCTTTTGAGGTTTAGCTTGTAATTTTAATTATAAAAGACTGAAAGTTGATAAATTATGTTATGGAATAGACTCTAGGCATGAGCAGTATCTGTAATGTTATAGGAATCGTGACAATAGAGAAAGAATACAATGAGAGGCATAAAGAGGGATCTAAAATGGAGAGTGACAAAGTACTGTCAAGGTGCTTTTCCCCAAAACCACTAATTCTTGTGTCCAGTTTTTACTTATAGTTTATGAAATTTGCCCAGAAGTTTATCTGAACAAGTTTGTTTTCTTTATGTGAACAAGTTTGTTTTCTTTTCATAAAAGATAAACCAGAATATGCCTGCAAGAGTACTGAATGTGTCCTTAGATACTACACAAATACCTCATCTCACATACATAACACAAGACGAGTAAAGCCATCTCGGCCCCACAATTTCTCCTCCATATCTGAGTTAGGATCTTCAGATAGTGAAGCTCATTCTTAGGGTTTTGTCTCTCCCTAATCAAAACCATCTTTGTCACAGACTATTGGGTTGGAGTATGATGAGAAGTTCTTCCATCCATTGGAAATGAGTTTTGAAGGAAGTAGTTACTCAATTAATGCTGACCAGCATCTCACTGATCGTCCTAAGGTTTCTGCCCTAGTCAGATAATAAAATATATAAACTCAACCTTGGTTAGAATGGCAATCTGTGCCTCAGTTATATCTGATTTGATATGACTTATTTTTGACCCGCTCTTATACTGGAAAATATTTGTCGCAGCTATACCTGGTTGTGGACTTGTGGTTTTTGTTAGAGGGACAATCTGTGCCTTATTTAGGTTACCTCTGATGGAAAATTTGATCTGGATCTTAATGCCTTCACGATAAAAGGCCATCAAATGACTCATTTGCCTATTACAAGCAAACCAGTGCTTTGCTTAAACTCTTAAGTGTCCTAGCTGTGAAGCTTACATAAGGGTGTTCAATTAGCAACCTTCTGATGAAAGTCTTGCTGTACCAATCTTGATGGAAGTATCTTATCGGGATGAGAAGTAGCGAAAGGTTGCTGTGGTGCTTCATCCAAGGATGGACATCAATTCTTCTCCTCATTTTTCCAATCCTGGACTAAATCTCGGATAATAATTGAGGAGTTGCCCTGTTATCCTTTCTCTATACAGAATTAAGGAAATTTTGGAAGGGTGAATGGGCTATGACAGCTTTTAGTGTTTTTTTTCGATGTTAGCTTTGCTTCTGTTGAAGTAAATCCTGCCATCTATTGCCCTTCCATCAGCAACAAAAAAATCTTTTGCCGCTTCTCATGATTATTTTTCCTATTCGGCACCCGAAAAAATCAACAAATTAAAAAAATCAACTATCAAAACCAGAAATTCTTGCATTTAAGTAGAAACGGAGCATAAAAATGAAATCATGCATTTAATAATAGGAAATTCTCACCCTTTTTTTTTTCTCACCCCCCCCCCCCCCTCAATTCTCAGAAGAAGAATTGCATCTCTCACTGGTTGAGGAGCAGCTCTCTCCTCTTCAATTGCGTAACACTTTTGATTTTTTCCCCCACCTCTTGTAGGATACCTGAAGATTTGCAAACTTACTAGGACCGTCCGTAGAAAATGGAACAAAGAAAGAATAGTAACAACCTTTTATTGTCTTAAGAAATCCCAAAGACGATTTAAAAAATGTGCTAACCAAAGTATGTTGGTGGACAATATCTAAGGGTAGGGTAGTAATGTGACTATGTGAGGCTACTCTCATGTCCAATTGATTTTATTCAGGACTTGGTGACCTGGTCCCCTTCATTGATTATATTGTATAAAACTTAGAGGGTGCCCGAGTGACTTATCTTGGGATTTTGCGACCCAATCCTCTTCATTGGTCATACTGAATTAAACTTCGAGGTGTTTTTTTATTTTTTGGTAAGCCAGTGCAGCTATATGTATATTGCTTAATTCTCAGAGCTAGCTTGTACATTACTGAAATCTGAGTCCGTATTTCCTTCTGTCAGATCCTAACATTTAACATTTATAAGATTATAGTCTTAGTTTTGAAGATTTTGATTCAAAATAATGAGAATTGATTTTAAATAGGATTACTAATTCTGTTACTTTAAATTGCATAATTCTATTAGGACACTATTTTGATTAAATTGTGAGGCATGCCTTGTTTGTTACTTGCTATTACCGAGATAAACTTCGAACACCGTGCCATTTTCTTTCCAGTCTTATTTTGTTGATGAAATGCCTTTTCCTGTGCAGTTTGAGAATTTTTAGCAATGAAGATGTAACCATTGGCTCATGGATGCTTGCCATGAATGTTCATCATGAAGATAATCGGGCTATGTGTGATCCTCGTTGCACGCCAACATCGATTGGTGTGTGGGATATCCCAAAATGTTCTGGTGCGGATCGTCTTTCTCTCTTCTGGTTCCTGACTTCCTGCTGTCTGATCAAATTATGCTTTATAAAATCTTAACAGCTATTTTTAATTGATTGACTATCTCTTCGAGATAGCCCATACCTTCCTGCTCTTTAGCCTTTAGGCAGTAGAGCTACTTGCAAAATTTGCAAGATGCTGTTATTGTGTGTACTATGTGCTTGTTACTTAAGCTTCGATACTTTCAATATCATTTAGGAATTAAAATTCTGAAGCAAATAATGACCTTAGGAAGCTCAAAGACTAGGCTGGAGCCATGAACTTATGGCAGTGCATAAAAGATGACTTACAGCACCATGCAGACTATAATAAACCAGTAGATCCCATCTGTAACTGAATGCTTCCTTGTGGCTTTATCTGATTGTAAATTAACTTAATATAATGGCTAAGATTCTCACCCTACCTGTTAATATCTAGCCTCGTCATTGAGAAGTTGACTAGCTCTGAACACATGGATTTCAAGTTGCCAAGCAATGTAATCATCAATATAAGGGAGAGGGGTAAATTAGGTAGTAGCGTAATGATTTTACTATTTGTGGCTTGAGGAAGTATATAGTTAGTTAGGGTAGAAGCTCAATAAATAGAGCATATTAGAGAGAAAATCATGTTGATAATGATGAGAGTTTCTATTAATTTTGTTAAACGTTTTGGGAGAGAACAAGCCTGTAGAATCGTTAACTATCCTCTATTATTGCTGATTTCCAGAAATTTATCATTGAACTCCATCTTCTCTTAATTTCCTTGTTTCTTGAATTTCACTTAGCACAAGTGCTTAAGGCTAGTGCTAACATGGGTTCTAAGGAGGTCAGGTATATGCTGCCTTGCTCTATTGTTTATAGGCTTGCAGCTTTGAACCTCTGACATATTTGATGCCATGAAGCTTTGCTCTTGCCGATTTGGGATCTATGTTCTGACAGCCTACTCTCTTCTCTTGCAACAGCACAGTTGCTTGGACTTACCGTAGACATATATTAGTAACTTTTTTTGACCTCAACCTACATAAATGGAGAAAGTCATTGTGTGAACTTAGAAAGATACAAGGCCGTAGTTACTTACTGATGACATTTATTTTTTTTGCTCCAAAGTTTAAACAGGAGATGTCAGGATAAGAGGAAATAGTTAAGAAATGGTCCATTGTTTCAAAAGGATGAACAGGCAGTTTTGAATTCTAAGCTGAATAACCTAAAATCTTTTTAGCCACACACAATATAATTAAATTCCTTTTCTTCGTTGCTTTCTTCTTGGGTTCTAGTGTGGATATGGGCTGTGCAGTAGAAACTCTGCAATTAATCACCATGGTCTATAAGTGCTTATTTATCTGAAGAGGTTCTTTGAGAAGCTGGCTTTTATGGGTTTAGAAATGCTCCATTTATCAGCATTGTCTATTGAATTGCAGCCTTTGCAGGAGCTCCTTTTAGGATAAAAATATGAGTGCTCTGTAATACGAAGACATCATTTCCATAAGATCCACTGATGTTGTGCTGTTACTATGATGCTTTTGTTCATGTTAGAAAGGTTTAACCACACGAAAGGGTGGTGAACTTTTTGGCTCTGTTGGTAAGCTGCATCATCCCTTTTTGGAAACTTCATGGTTTTGGTCCAAAATGAACTGTCAAGAGTCCATATTCAGCTAGAGTCTATTTTCTGACATGATACTTGGGTGAAATGAAGACTCCTAGTAACATTAGCTTGATGAGACTTACAAACGATAGAAATTACGATTTAAGACACCTTTTTCAGTGATGCAGATTCCTTATGTTGATTGATATTTTATGGCAGTGAACCCTGTAGGTACTGTAGTTTTCCATTTCCCTCCCTGAAATGTGCTATTTAAATCCATTAGGAAGCCTGTAGAGATACATTTGTCGTGTCAGCAGGACTCTGGAAAGTAGGAAACTGTCTGAAATTAGGTTGTAGGATTTCATGTTGTAAAGGAACTACACAGATACTCCATTTATACATTAGTGGTACTGCATAATATCGTTGTTGAAGTATCTCACGCCAAAAACCTTGTTTTCTTCAGTAAGTTGTGGCATGAGATTCATACTGCATCTATTTCAATATCCTTTCTATTCTCATGCCAGGATGTCCTTTTGTATGGTAAAACTGTAAAAATGAGTGTCAAATATGGGGTATGTGAATAAAACATCACAAAAATGCCTAAATTCAAACTTATGAGAGATACACAAATTAGTCTGAATGATATCTGGGAATCTCTGTGTGGAATATTTTTAGTGAGTAAATTTGAACTATCTTCTCTAGAGGAAAAATCAATCTTAGATACTTCGTATGTCACATTGTTGTTTTTCTTAGAAGATGGCCTATAGGCAGTTATTGTTATAGCATTTTTGAAGCATTGGCGACAGGGAAAAGTTGTATCTGTTGCTTCCAGCCTAACCTTCTTTTCCCTGCGGATAAACCTTTTCTTTAGATTTTACTGCTGATAATTCATGCTATGCATATCTATTTTGTGCTTTACCTTTTCTGATTTTGAATGTGTTGCACATTGTAGTTCCATTAAGAGGTTAACTTTTGGGATTGGGGTATTTATGCACTTTTAAGATACTAATGACTGAAGTTGGGGATTTGCTGAACAGGTTTATGCAATCCGCCCGCAAGACTAAAGGAACTTCATGATACTAATATGTGCTCTAAGAGTCCAACGCTTCCAGCAGAGGAGGACGATGATAGATAAGTGTTTTCTTGCACTTCATATGTTCTATTAACCTTTTCATTTCAAGCATGGCTTTGTTCCTGTTACTCGAAATGCAATTGGAATTGATAAATATCTCAAGGATGAGTATATTTACAGAAGGAATACGCCCTTGAAGTCCTAAAATTTGTTGTAATGTACGCTAGGCATTCTTTTCCCGGGTGATCATTGTATCTAGGGTATAGTTAACTATCACAGAGATGTAGAACTACTCTTTACAGGTATTAGGAGGAATACTATATTATGTGTTAATATTCAATTAAAACATGTGCTCTTTTTGAGAATTGAGAGATTTACCTTTCAGTTTGCTGTAACTAATCCCATTTCAAATATTCAGCCTCATTGCTGATATGTATTCTTTTAGTTGGTAAATCCCCTTTGTTCTGGGAACTCACAGACCGAATCAAAGACAATTGGCTCGATCTTTAGGTTGAAAAATATAATTTCCTATGTTCATTCCAAAATCCTATGGAAATGGTTTTGGACTGACCATTTTTTATTGTTGAAAAACATGTAAAATTGGTTGATTTTTTTATTCAATATATTGAAAAGATTATCCATATTTTGTTCTATTCTTTGTAGGATTTTTTTTTTTTTTTTTACATATTATTGGACAATAAAATTTTAAATATATATTATGCGTGTGTATAATGATATTTCTACATACATAATTGGACCACTTCCTGTCACTGAGTTGCTTGGATTCCAGGGGATGAAGTGAAGGTTGAGCCTTGAGTATACAGAAACAGTGCAGTATTATTGTTGAGCTCTTCTTATATAATGTGTGGTCTGAATTTGGCCAACACTTTTTTTGGTGGTATAAACAAACAACAAATTGCATGTTTTTGCCAGTAATAACGCCAATTTTTATTTATTGGGTGTATTTTTGCATATATACATACCATACACATCTCTAATCTCAACTTGCATAAAATATTTGAATTTATCTTATAATATAATTTTTTATATTATAATTATTGGACTACTAGTTGATATATCGATGATGATGAAAATTATAGTCATCGTTATTTCTACATCTTACACCACTTTGTTACTCATTAAATTCTCTTTGTCCCAATTTCTCAGAGTTTTCTAGATTTACTTAATTAATAATATCTCAAAATACTCATTTATTTTTCTTTTTGTTATTTTGGTATTTAACTTTTACTTTGGTACCAAAATATAAATGTAAGAGTCATTTGTTGTATTATTTTGATAGCTATGACATATATAAACTTTTTTTTTTTCGATACTTATATTTGCAAATAATATTGTACCAGGTTTTAATTCTCCCTTGCTTCCGAAAAACACACAAAGTAGTACTATACATATATTCTTTTGTCGTGATTTTATGTCTTCATAGGTTTTTATTTTTGATAAATTTTTTTATTTTTTTTTGAAGTGTTTTAAAAAGAAATTCGCTATTCACTCTCGAAATTACACTTCATTTTTCATTTTCTCTTCGTTTCTTAACTTTTTTTTTTTTTTTTTTTCGCGCTAACTCTTGCTTTTCTTCTCTCTCAACATGCCTTATAGTCGGTGGTCTAGAGGATCACATACTACAAGGATAAGATTAAGAAATGAGTTTTGAGTTGTAGTGATTTAGTGGAAATGGATGTTTTAACTATTTAGATGTAACATCTATATTGCATAAGTGGAAATTAAATATTGTGAAACTTTTGAAGAAAGTCCATACCCTAGAAGATCTAATGAATAATGTGAAAAATAACTTTAAAATTAGAATAATGAAAATTTCCAAGATATAAGAATTGTTTTGATGAACATCTGTTAACTGAATTATTGTATTACGTACATAATTACTTGTTGGAAGATAAATTTACAGGTTTTCCCTAAAAATATACCTCACCCTTAAATAACTTGTGTGTATTAAACTTCTTTAAAAGTTCTCTTTAGTATGATGACTATGTCTCTTAATCATCACGTTCCACCTTATTTACCTAGCAAACTAGAGCTTTTCTTAATTTAATTTTAAGTAAGGGAAAATCATATTTTTAGTGAATTTATGAGGGTTAGAGATATAAATACTTGCCATATGTAGCTATTAGGTTAAGAAATTCATGAATTGCATAATTCTGATTTATGTTTGTAGGAGGATGACAGAGTTGAACACCTTTTGCGAGGCCCAACCAAAATCTAGTCCGGTTTGACCCCAATCCGATGGTGAATGTGAATAAAATATTAAGTTTTTTAATTGGAAAAAGCAAACGAATGCCCTAGGGCGTTAGATGAGAAGACTAAAAATAGAAATATTAACTTGAAATAAACATTAATTACACCTACTGACGCGTGATTGTGACCTGCATTCTTAAATTAATACTTCCTCTGCTCCATAAATATTGCAAAAATGATGTATGCATCACAAAGCACATTTTATATGCTAAATATCTATAATTATTTAAGAGTAAAAATTATAAAAAGTTGATATTGTGAAAGTATTTTATGAGACCAATCTAACAAGACCTCACATGGCTATATTTTACTTTACGTGTAAATCATGATATGTGGTTAAACAAATGTGATGAATAGTGTGAAAGTCCAGTTGCTGCAATATTACTAGAACAGAGCAAGTACCATTTTAGGAATTATATTAGATTGTTATCTAATGTTCGGGGGCGCTCGTGAGTAAGATCCTTTCTAATTAAGTGCCTGTTCAAATCAAAATAGAACGTGACTAGTGACTTCACGCTCCCTCGAAAGAAAGGCTTTTGCTCTCTAGAAGTAGGGTTTTGCTGCCACGTTTCTTGGTGGCTCTTCTACCATTCTCTGGCTAATTTTATGGAGATGGCAGAGGAGATTATTGCTAAATGTTTGAGTTTAAGAATTGAGGATGATGATGCTGGTGTCGTGGACTTGGGTGGTGTGGGATCGACTGAACAAGTGAATAATTTTGACCTTTTTTTGATTTGGAGGGTTTTGACTGATCGGCCCTACAACGTGGAATTGTTTAGGGCAATGATGAAGAAGGTCTGGGCTCCTTTGAAAAATTTGGTGATTAGGATCCTTGGACCGAACCTGTATGCTATTCAATTTTCCCATTGGCGTAACAAGGAGAAGGTGTTGAATGGACGTCCGTGGTGCTTTGACAATATGCTAATAATCCCAAAGGAGATAGAAGGCAATGAACAACCAAAAAAAATTCCTTTGATTTATTCCCCTTTCTGGATCCGATTAAAAATTCTCCCGTTTAACTGTCGATCGGATGACGATGTGAAGGCTTTGGTACCAAATTTGGGTGAACTCATTGAAATTGAGGATGACCTGCTGGGTTTGGATCGATCTAGGCGGGTGAAGATTATGCTAGATGTGACTAAACCACTTCGGCGATCGCAGCGTATTCTGGATAAATTGGGAAAGGAGGTGCGAATTGAATTTGCGTATGAGAGGCTGTCGTTTTTTTTGCTTCGCGTGTAGAATATTGGGGCATGCCGAGAGTGATTGTAGTGTGGTCTCTAAGGAGAGTCGAGAACAGAGATTGGGGTGGGAAAGATGGTTACGGGCTTCTCCACGAAAGGGGAGAATCAGAGACACAGAAGAAATTGGTGGAATTGTTGCTGCGAAGAAGACTTTGTTTGTCACAAAAAATTCTGAAGATGACTTGTATGAGATTGAGAAAGGGCCTGTCAATGAGGGGAAGTATAAGCAGGTTGATGAGTCCTCTTCTATTGCTTTGTTGAGTGTTGAGGAGGCGGGTAAAGAGGTTTCAAAATTGCAGAAGTTTGGACTTGTTGATAGTGGGAAAGTAGAGAGATAATGTGGTGTTTTCTTTTACTGGGGAATTAGTGATCGATGGGAGTGGGGTTGAGAGAGTAAAAAAGTGGAAGAAGTTGACAAGACCAGTAGGGGAGTATGATAGTGTGATGGCAGAAGCTCATAGCCTTGTTGAGTTGGGGAAGCGTGCTAGAGAGGTGGGATAGGAGGACGGTGCAGTGCAAAAATTTCAGAAAAAATTGAGTGATGGTAGTACTATTTCTGGATGGCGGGAGAAGGAGGTTGCCAATGAGCAACCCCGCCCAGCTCAATGAGTATTTTAAGCCTTAACTGTAGAGGGTTGGGAAACCCCTCTGCAGTTAGTGGTCTTCGAGATCTTATTCGGAGAGAGGCCCTGTCTGTGATATTTTTGGCATAGACGAAATTGAGCTCAACTGAATTTAATAAGGTTTGACGAAGGACGGGTGACTTTGAGGGCTTGGTGGTGGATTCGATGGGGAGGTCTAGTGGGTTGCCGCTTTTGTGGCGTAAGGGTATTGATGTTGTGCTTAGGACGATGTTGGTTCATCATGTTGACGTGGAGGTTAGGGATGGCTTGGGGGATAGGATGTGGAGACTCACGGATTTCTACGGATGGCCAAAGGTTCAAAATCGCTTTTTGTCGTGGAAGCTGCTTGAGGATCTTGCCTCTCAATCTCAACTGCCGTGGGTTTGCTTAGGCGATTTCAATGAAATTTTATTTACGGCGGAGAAGTTAGGGGGGGGGGGGAATGATTGAGCGGAGTGGCAAATGGAGAACTTTAGGAGGGCTGTGGCAGTGTGTAGGCTTCGGGATATTCCTTACTAAGGGTATAAGAATACATATGATAATGGTAGAGAAAAGGGGGAGAACACTCAATGTCGTCTTGATAGAGTGCTTGCAATTGAAGATTGGATGACTTTTTTCCCAGATGCTCACTTTTTCCATCTTGATAGAGATTAGTCGGATCACGCACCAATTAAACTTGTACTTTGCAATAAGGAGAAGGAGAGACTAAAGGACAAACCTTTCCGCTTCGAACAATTATGGCAGGCTGATGCGACGTGTGAGGGTGTTATTGAGAATGCATGGCTGGGAGGCATTAATTTAAAGTCGAAGTTGGGGATGTGTGCAGCGGATTTGAAAGAGTGGAGCTCGAAAAAATTTGGTGAGGTGTTCAGGGAGCTGAGCAAGAAAAAGAAGCAGCTTAATAAGCTTAATAGGGGCGGCTTATCTACTGCTCAATTAGAGAAAAGGCGTCGGCTAGTGCGTGATATTGCTAACCTAGTGCATCATGAAGAGGTCTATTGCGTCAAAGATCTCGGGTTTTATGGTTGGAATCGGGAGACAAAATATACCAGATTTTTTCACCAAAGGGCATCGAGTAGAAAAGCCAAAAATACAATTTGAAAATTGGTGGATGATAATGGTGAAGTCCACTCTGGGGATGAGAAAATTAGCAATGTGGTGGTGACATATTTTAAAAATATGTTTTCGACTTCGAACCCCCCCGATCACGTAAGCTGCCCAAGATTTCCAAAGCCGAGTCACCGTTGAGATGAATAAGGTTTTGCAAGCCGAGTATACGGAGGATGAGGTTAAATTTTCTCTAGGACAGATGCACCCAATTAAGGCGCCGGGACCAAATGGAATGTGTCCGCTCTTTTTTCAATCTTACTGGAGTATTGTCGGCCCGACGGTTTCTAGTACTGTGCTTTCTGTTTTGCGAGGTATGCCCGTGCCTTCATACTTGAACAAAACTTTTATTGCACTTATTCCGAAGAAGAAAGATGCGAGTATGTCGGATTTTAGGC